CGCTGCACAGAGGCTTGGACACTCAGGGGCAACTTGCACGTCCATGTACATTGTGAACGCCAGACACCTCCTGCTTACTTCGGGGCGGGGATATTTCCGCATGGGACCAAGTACCTCTGCCATCTGCACACCTCCGGCAGGTTAGCCAGTGCAGACAAGGGCTCAGAGCAGGGCCCACATCCAGAGCCAGGGAACCAAGCCAGCCTCCAGCCAGGGGCTGCAGGCACAGCTTCCGTAGGGCAGCCCCCATGGACACTGGGTCTGATCTAGTGCTGGGTCTGCCAGGGCTCTCGCTGGGGGGCCTCAGCAAGGCACGAGGGGTGCTCAGCTGGTCGGGGCACACACAGTCCGGAACCACTTCTGACCCTGGTGGGGAGGGACCCTGGGGTCTGACCGTGGTGGGGACCTTCTTAACCGCTCTGCGCCTGTCTCCAGACAGACACCACGTTATAAAGTACATTCAGGTCACTGGATCGAGAGTGAAAATAATTAACGTTCACCTCCTTTGCTGTGCCCACACCTGCCCCGCCACTGCTCCCCTGCCCACACCTGCCCCGCCATTGGCCCCCAGGCCTGCATCCTGCCTGCACCTACCCTGCCACTCACCTCATGCACCCCCCCGCCCACACATGCCCCGCCATTGCCCCCCCCACCCGACCTGCCCGCCTTTAGCCCCCCGCCTGCACCTGCCCTGCCATTGGCCCCCAGGCCCACATCCTGCCTATACCTGCCCCGCCATTCACCTCGTGCACCCCCTGCCTGCACCTACCCTGTCATTCGCCCCTCATGCCTGCACCTGCCCTGACATTTGCCCCATGCACCCCCTGCCCTGCCATTCACTCCCATGCAGCCCATGCCCACACCCTGCTCCCCCATTCGCTCTTGCACGCCCAGCCTGCACCCTGCTGTTCGCCCCCAGGCCCACACCCTGCTCCACCATTCACTCCTGGAGGCCCTGCCTGTGCCCTGCTCATCTGAATTCCAGCCTCAGTAGCTCGGGTGTGCTTTGATTTGCTGCGTGTCACAGTGGTGAGCACCCTGGGCTGGGGTCTGACGGGCAGTGCACCATATGAATTATACAGCCAGGCAATGCCACTCAAAGCACCCAACCCACCTCCTCCAGAGCCCCTGGCCAGGCACCCCACCCACTGTGTGCCACCTCTAGGCAGCGTCCTCTCTCTGTCCTCCACATCACCACCACACTGTCCCCCACAAGGTTACTGGTCCTTCCTGCCCAGCGCCAGGCCCTCCTGCGGGCTCCACTCCGAGCTCCACGGCTCCGGCGCAAACACCTGCAGACCGGCCAAGGGATTCAGCCGCAGGCCCCCAGCAGAACTGCGGAGAGGCCTATGGCCCCGCTCCTCATGCTTCAAGGCCGCAGGTTGGCTGCCTACAGGGGCCAGGAAGAACTCACAGCTCCGGCTCTGCGGGGCCGGCCAGGCACAGTAGCGGGGGCTCTCCAGCGCTGGCCCTGCTGGGGGGTGCACTGCGCTCGCCCCACCTGCAAAGCACCTCAAAGCACTTCTCAGGCCTCAGCCCTGCCTGACATGGGGAGAAACCACGGCACCTGCCCCAGGCCACACAGCAAGGCAGCCACAGAGGCGGGAACAGAACCCAGAAGTCCGGGGCTCTCAGCACACAGCCTTGCGGGTGGGTGGGGGAGCTTACCCGCTCGCTGCACCACTGCCAGGGCATGTTCTGGTTCCCGCCCGCCTGAGGTGCTTGCTGCACCGACCCAACCCCGGGGCTGCGAAATCCAGCCAGAGCCAGGCCTCCCCGCTGACCCAGCGCGAGAGCCAGGGACCCGGGCGATCCCCCTGCCCGAGCCCTCCTGGGGCCGCAAGGAGCTTGGCCCCATTCCCGAGGCAGCCCCTGTCTCTCTGGGGCCGTGGTGGCTACCCAGTGCCACGCTGCAGAGCGCGAGAGAGTCACACGAGCCCCACCGCACGAAAGGTCCCCGGCGACCCGGGTCTTGGAGCTCTCTCCCACTCCTCGCATCGCAGTGATCTTCCCGCCACTACCACAAGGGGGCACAGGAAAGCAGCCCAAGCCCAGGGACCAGCCTGCTTCCCCGAGCTCATAACCGGTGGCACAGGGGCTGGCAGGGAGGCCCCGTGTCGGGGGGCACGGCTGCCCAGTGACCCTCGGACACCAGCAGGGCGAGCCGGGGACTGACCTGCTCCCGCTGGAAGGGGGCATCAGGCATGGGGGCAGCGCAGGGCTAGGCCCCTCGGGGCGCCGAGGTCACCCAGCTAGCAACGCGGGAAGCGTGGCGTGGATGGCTCCGGTGTTTCTACCCAGAGGTGCAGCCCCACTCGGAGCAGGGTCAGACAACGCTGCAGGAGCAAGGCCTGAGCCCACCGCTGCCCCCAGGGCTCTCAGCCAGGCCCCCGCCGAGCGCAGCCCATTCTGGGGCTGGGAACTGGGCATGGCTGAATGTGCTTCCCCAGGTGGATCAGCCTGTGCCCCCTGCCCCGGTGCCACGCAGGTGAAGGCAAGTGAGGGCATCTCCCAAGGAAGAGCGCACCCCATGGACAGTCCCTCTCTTGTGGGCTCACTTAGAGGGAGCATCTCTGCCACAGAGCTGCATGGGTCTCTCGGGGCGATTGCAGGGGAAGGTGCCCCAATCCTCCCCGCTCACCTGCGTGACCCCGCTGCACCAGCGCTCAGCCTGCCCATTTACATAACCTGCCCCGGGCTCCGACTGCCCAGGAGGGGGCTGCAGGGGGTTGTGCCGCCCCCAGAACACTGGCACTGTCTAAATGCCAAGGGATGGGGGAAGCGCTTCCCGGAGCAGCCTGCAGTGACAGAAAGCAGGAGAGGAGCGCGCATCCACGGGGAGGGGGCTGCACTGAACAGCCCAGGCCCCCGGCTAACGACGGCAGGCAGAAGGGACACCCGCTCCGATGCCGCCTTCGCTTGGATCCTGCCACCCACCCGGCCCTGCGGCGCAGCGTTACACAACAGGTAGTGACAGAGAGGGGAGCCGGGCCGGCCAGTGCCCCCACCTGGCACCGTGCCCCCAGGTGAGCCGGCTCCCTGCCCCCTGAGCGATCCTTCCCAGCCCTCTCCGACTCCCGCAGCCGGGAGACCCCAGCGGCTCCGGCCCAGCCCAGCCCGGCCCCCCCGAGCGCACACGTACTGCTGTAGAGGGTGTCGATCCAGGAGAGGCGCGCCAGGCCCCGGTGGCTGAGCGGCTCCATGCTCGGCGAGGCGAGGCTGGCTGTCAGATCCTCGGCCACCGACACATCTCCCAACAAAGGCGGCGAGGGGAGGGAGGGAGGGGAGCAGGGAGGGGGCCAAGGGGAGCGGGGCTGGGGCGGGCTGGCAGAAGCCCGGGCAGCAGTGGGTCACGGCAGCCGGCGAGGGGAGCCCGAGCCAGCCCCTACCCTGCAGCACGGGGCTGCCTGCCGGGGGGAGAGGCTCCGCTCCGGGAAGGAGCCGCCAGTGCCTGCCAATGGCAGCCCGCACCTCCCCCCGCCTCCGCCGGAGATGGGGCGGGGAGCGGAGCCAGCCCCGCATGCAGGGAAGCTGGGGAGGGGGCAGCGAGCCCCTCTCTCCGGCGCCATGTCCAGAGTCACCCCCAGGCGCTCAGCTAGGCTGCTGCCCTGCACCCCAGAGGTGGCTGCATTTCAGCATCATGACAGGTGACAGCTGGGGGCGAAGGGGGGGCACCCCATGCCGTGGGGCAGTGCTGGGCTCCGCAGGCTACCATCAGCTCCCCGAGTTTGGGGGGAAGAGGCTGCGGAGACGCTGCCAGATGGTCAGGTGGCTGCAGGTGGCAGTTAGCTGGGTCTGCCGCATCCCTCGAGGCCGATGACCCCCTCCCCCAGCCATGCCGTGAGTATTTTTAGGGGGTGGGGGAGGGGCATGAGGGGCCCTGTGGATGGCCTAACCTAGGCATCCGGCCCTGTGCCCCCTCTGCAGACTGAGAGCCCAAATTGGCAAGACCCCTCGAGGCAGCCCGGGCATGACTTCAGTCCACCAGCCAGGGGGGCCAGTAGTGCCAGTTGGCAGGGTGATGCCCGTCTATTGGAAGCCAGGCTGAGAACCAGCCAACTCATTCCACACAGGCCAGCGAGCAGCCAGGGACGTAGCCACCTCCCAGCACCAGCGGGCCCTGCCACACTGGAGCTAAGAGGCCAGAGGGGAACGGCTCCACGTCCCGGCCCCAGTGGCAAGGAGAACGGGTCCCAAGGAATGACCTGGAGGGAACATGGGGCGCGTGGGGAGAGCGGAGCCGAGGAGCTCGACAGGCCCTGGGACATCGCCATCTTCGTAGTCACTGGAGCCAACAGCAGCCACGGCAGCTAAGAGATGCATTTCTTTCCTCTCCTCTCCTTCCCGGGGCACGTCAGTGCCAGACCCCTCCTGTCCTGGGCCGAGAGGCCCGAGACTGCAGCCGGGCACAGCCAGAAGGCATACGGCGGGTAACCAACCCCCCCAGCCGGGGCACAGTAGGTGCAGCCCTGACACTCTCCAGGACAGGGAAGTGGCACAGACAGCCCTGGATGTGGCATGGACACTGCTGCCTCCGGGCCTCACGCAGTCCTCACCGAGGGGCGCCGGCGTTTCCTGCACCCTGCGCTCACCGACGAGCCCATCTGCAGCTGACAGGGTCCAAGCATTTTAGTGCTTTGGACGTGGTTTGTGTTAGAGGCAGCTTCTGAAATGAGACCCCCCCCCCCACGCCCTCCGAGCGCTGGGCCCCCAGCCCCCTCAAGGCACGGTTCTGCCCGCTGGGTTGTGCGCCGGCCAGGAGGGCCCTGCCGCACAGGGTGCCGGATCAGCCTGGCACACATAGCCTCAGTTTGCGAGACGCAGCATGCAGGGAGTGGGGGAGGGCCCAGGCACTTGACAGACGCCCCCGCAGCCTGGGGCCTGGCACAGCTCCTGCGACTGCTCCAGAAAGAAGCCTGGGTGGGGGACACCAAGCCCAATGGCCCAGGGTCACGGGAATGGTAGCACAGAGCCAGCAATGCTCTGGGACACAGCCCCCCCCCCCCCCCCGACAGCAACAAGCCAGGGGCACGCTCTGAATGGGAGCCCTGCAGAGGTCACTGGACATATGCTAACCCGTGGCCCGGAGCTCCCCCCAGCTGGCTGCTCCCTCCAGTCGGGGGCTGCCGCCGCCTTCAAGCAGCCTTGCCAGCAGCTCTCCTATCCTTCCCCTCACCCCATGGACCCATTGCACAAACTCCGGCCCAAGCAGGACAGCCCCGAGCAGGTCGCCTACACTAGGGGAATGGGGACAGGACACCTGGGTTCCATTCCCAGCTCTCCCACCGACTTGCTGGGTGCCCGTGGCCAAGTCACTGCCTGGCTCTGTGCCTCAGTTTCCCTCCTGTGAACAGGGATGATACGTTCCCACCCCACATAAAGCACTGAGAGCTCCACAGACTGACAGCCCCGGAGGGGTGCTCCTACCGCAAGGGACACAGACCGCTCCCTCCCATCCCCCACCAGCAGCCCTAGGAGAAAAGCTCCTTCTCCGAAGCCTGTCGGTCCCAGCAGCAGAACAAGACCCCGCCGAAGCATCGAGAGCGAGACAGGAGTCCACAGACACCAGTGCCTGTCCCCACATGCACCACGCCTTGCACCAGGGCAGAGGCACCAGAAGAGGAGCTGCCATCGGGCGGAGACTTGGGCCAGCTCCACTCCCTGGGCTCGGGAGAGAGCAGTGCCTGACGCCTCACCACGGAGCGGGCTCCCCGGGCCCCACCCAGGGCCATGCCAGCTCCATGTCCAAGCACAGCTTCCGCCCCGCCAGACATGTCCCACTCCGGGCACCGAGCAGCCAGCCCACCTGGGCCATCCCCCGAGCTAGGACGCAGAGATGCCAGACCCACTGCTCTGCGCTCCAGCCCTGTCAGCCCCAGTTCTGCTACCCAGAGCTCGGACAGGAAGGAGTTAAACGTCCACCCCGCTCTGCTTGTAGCCCAAGGAAATGTGAACTGCCTGAGCCATCAACCCCAATATGTCAGCAGGCCAGCCAAGCGTGCAACCCGGAGACTGCCCTGGTGCAGCTCGTGCGGGCGCATCTGCCTGCCTGTCCCCGAGGCGCGGGACTGGCAGCGATCCCACACCCAGCCGTCCCGCGGGGAGAGCGCTCCCCCCACTGTCCCAGCCGTGGCTGGACCCGGTCATGCCCACAGCGGGAGCCAGGCACTGGGGCAGAGGGTTACACACCAGGGCCTGGCTTGGAGGGGGCGGGGAGCCGCTCAGACCGAAGTGCCCGCGCCAAGCAGCGTTACAGCACCCACGCTGCAGGCACCAGCCCCATGCCGTGGGCAGGGCCTTCCCCAGGCCCATCCCAGGGCACAGCCTGTCACCCCCGCACACCTCCCCAGGCCACGGTTCTGTCCCGGCAGACCCGGCTCACGCTCGCCTCACGGTGCTCAGCGTGGTGCACCAAACACGGCCAGCGGGCCTCTCGGCCACGGCTAATCCAAAGGCACAGGGCGTGGGCTACGCACCCTTGACGGGCACCAGGAGTGGCATGGTCCGGGAGAAGCCTGTGCCCCAGCCCGAGCTGCCAGTCACCAAGCAGGACCCGAGGCGGGCAGCGTGGCTTTTCAGAGAGCTTTGGCAGTGCAGGGGCTGCAAGGCAGAGGGCCCTTCCCCACGCCCAGGCAATCTCCCCGGTGCACTGCTATTGCTCACTGGCCAGCCAGCACCTGACTGGGCTGGCTTGGTAGGAGCTGGAGCAGTGGCACAAGCAGCCCCCCATACCCTCCCCGGCACCCGATTCCCATCTGCCATCATTGCCCGGCGTAGCCTGGGTCCTCGCAGCCCCAGGGCCGCTAGCCTCCCCTGGGGCTCTCTGCGCAGTCCTGGGCACGTGGCCAGAGAGCAGGGCCCCGGCCAGCCCTCCCTGTGTGCCCTTGCCTGGGCGTATCGCCCCAAATCACCTCCCTGCCATCACAGGCCTCCCTCCTTTGGCTAAAGCTGGCCAGCGGTTGGCCATGAGGGTAGGGCTGGTGGCTCGCTGCGATACACAGGAGGAACTAGGAGGAACTGGCTGGTGCCCTCTGGCCCCTGGCATCTCCCATCCCCAAGTCTGAGCACCTGCCCCCGGCGGTTATGCTCTAGCCGAGAGCACCCAGACATTGGGCGGTGCCGCGCCAAGGACCATGCGTTTGGGGGGACCTGTGCATTCCCAGAGAGCCCTGGGGTCAGGTCAGTCCCCCGTCCCCGTCTCTCGCTGTGTGCCATCCTACCTGCTCCTCGCCCAGGCTAACCAAGGGCTGCCCTGCCCCCCCCCGTTCCACCCACGGCCAGCTGGGGGAGGATGTGACGAAGTGGGACAGTTCTTAATGTTTCCTCTGAATAGTGTGGGGGTGCCTCAGTTTCCCCTAGGCAGTTCTTAAGTATCTAGGGGGTGGAGTAAGGGTGTATGATCATTGCAGAGCCCTAGAGGGCAGGTGTGTGAAGGGGTCTGGACACAGAGAATGGCCGACACCCTGTTTCCTGGCAACTGATGGCCTGGGCCCTTCCCCCCCTGCAAGGTGAGAGCTGAAGGGTTGGAGAACAAAGGAATCAGGTGACCTCCTGGCCCGGGAAAGGAACAAAGCCCAGAGGAGGAGGGGCTGGAGGGGGTTTCAGTTTGGGGCTGGCTGGGACATGGAGTGAAGTGCAGACGTGGTTATCTGGCTCACTGCCCCCCAGAATGGACCCAGCTGAGGGGTCCTGTTCTCTGCACCTGCAAGCTCTGTTTTAGACCATGTTCCTGTCGTCTAATAAACCTTCTGTTTTACTGGCTGGCTGAGAGTCACGTCTGACTGCGAAGTTGGGGTGCAGGACCCTCTGGCTTCCCCAGGAGCACCGCCTGAGCGGACTCGCTGGGGGAAGCACACGGAGAGGCAGAGGATGCTGAATGCTCCGAGGTCAGACCCAGGAAGGTGGAAGCTGTGTGAGCTGTGTGTCCTGAAGACAGTCTGCTCACAGAAAGGCGACTACCCCAGAGTCCTGACTGGCTTCATGGGGAGCAGTTCCAGAGCATCGCCCAGGGACTCCGTGACAACTGGTGGCAGCGGTGGGATGTACTGCACCCCATGGATGGCGCTTCCTGCAGTAAGTGACTGGGGAGCAGTAACACGAAGGGGGATTGCCGAGGACCAGGCCTGCTGAAGGCTCAGAAAGGAGCGGTTTCGGGGGGCGGTTAACCCCTGGGAGTGTGTGACCAGCGAGAAGGACTGTGCAGTAATGGGGTCCCCCTGGGGACTGCAGTGAGCAGTCTCAGGGGCGGAGGAGTCTGCCGCTCGACCCTGGCAAAGAGGTGGTGACCTGGAGAAGGGCTGGCACACTAGGGGTTCTCCCTGGAAACCGTGGGGAGCTGAGAACACACGGACCTGTGAGTCCACAACAACTTGGGAGGAGCGGAGTGATGGCCTGTCACTGTCTCCTTAAGAAGGACATTGTAACCCTGTGCAAAAAGAGAGGGTTGAGCTTTGGAAAGTTCACCAAAGCAGAGTTAATCGTGCAGCTGGAGGAGGATGACCGCTCTAAGGAACAGATTCCTGACCCCAACTGGGGCTATAGCAGGATCTGGGAGCAGCTGGAGCGGGAGCCAGGCATCGCCAAGACTCCTGTCCCCGATCGGGTTCCCCATCGGGGGATCGGAGACGGACGGGATTGGAGCTGAGTCTGAGAGAGCAAGAGGACTGTGAGAGACAGCGAGAGCCCGAGAAAGAGCTGCAGAAGCAGCAGCAGGATGAACTGGCGGTGGGGGAGCGGAGAGGCCTAGGGGACCTCCCAGGGGTGAGTGGGGATAGATCATGGGGGCCAGTTCCGCAGGGAACCTCGAGACTAAATTGCTGCCCCTGGTTAAGGATGGGGGGGAGGTGGATGCCCACCTCACTGCCTTTGAGCAGGCTGGAGATTTGAACTAGGGGGACCCTGCGGAAAAGCCCCGGTGTCTAGCTCCCTTGCTGGGTCCCAAGGCCATAGACTCCGTCGGCCAGATGGTTGGGGATGTGGACAGGCTCCCACTCCTGACCCCAACCTATATGTCGGTGTGGAGTTTCCTGGGGCCAGGCCCCTCGGACCCCCAGTGGGAGCGGAAGGTGATGGTCAATGGGGAGACATTCTTGGGGTGGCTAAAGGGCATGGGCTGCATAAACCTTCCCACATGCGGCCTGCGAGTGCTATCGACCACCCCTGACCTAAGGGAGGGCGTGAAACCGGAAGGGCCTGGTGTAACTCCTACCAAGGAATGGGAGAGATGCTGGGGCATCCATGGGAACGTTGGTGGCTTCGAACTTCCCCAGGTCACCGGCTAAAGTGACCCCGCTCAGTTCGATCTCGAAGGGGGGAGAGATGTGACGAAGTGGGACAGTTCTTAATGTTTCCTCTGAATAGTGTGGGGGTGCCTCAGTTTCCCCTAGGCAGTTCTTAAGTATCTAGGGGGTGGAGTAAGGGTGTATGATCATTGCAGAGCCCTAGAGGGCAGGTGTGTGAAGGGGTCTGGACACAGAGAATGGCCGACACCCTGTTTCCTGGCAACTGATGGCCTGGGCCCTTCCCCCCCTGCAAGGTGAGAGCTGAAGGGTTGGAGAACAAAGGAATCAGGTGACCTCCTGGCCCGGGAAAGGAACAAAGCCCAGAGGAGGAGGGGCTGGAGGGGGTTTCAGTTTGGGGCTGGCTGGGACATGGAGTGAAGTGCAGACGTGGTTATCTGGCTCACTGCCCCCCAGAATGGACCCAGCTGAGGGGTCCCGTTCTCTGCACCTGCAAGCTCTGTTTTAGACCATGTTCCTGTCGTCTAATAAACCTTCTGTTTTACTGGCTGGCTGAGAGTCACGTCTGACTGCGAAGTTGGGGTGCAGGACCCTCTGGCTTCCCCAGGAGCACCGCCTGAGCGGACTCGCTGGGGGAAGCACACGGAGAGGCAGAGGATGCTGAATGCTCCGAGGTCAGACCCAGGAAGGTGGAAGCTGTGTGAGCTGTGTGTCCTGAAGACAGTCTGCTCACAGAAAGGCGACTACCCCAGAGTCCTGACTGGCTTCATGGGGAGCAGTTCCAGAGCATCGCCCAGGGACTCCGTGACAGAGGTCTCATGTCTGGGTTGAGTTCAGCCCCCTGCCCCCACAGCACTCACTGGGCCAATGGCAGTGGCGGGGTGGCAGTGCCCTGGGCCCAGGGAAAGGAGGCTGGTGACTATGCTAGGGGAAAGCCATCATGGCGGAGAGCCCGTAGCCGCTAGCAGGATCGACACAGCCCCGGCGCCAGGCACCGCTCTGCATCCCCACGAGAGGCCCAGGCTGCCCCCCCTGGGCTGGCAGGTTGGATCAGCACCAGCGTCCCCGCTGGGGCTCATTGCCAAGCTGAGCAGTGAGTCACCAGGCGGTGAATCACCAGCACAAGGTGCAGGCCGGGATGACGCGCAGAGAGCTGCAGTTATCCAGGCCTCACACCAGGCTCTGTACGGATCTGAGCAGCTCCCCGCACGCAGCCAGTGCCCCTCTGCACACACAGCGTAACAGAGTCCGGAGGGGGGACCACAGGCCTCCATGGCCAGGCAAGCAGAGCTCCCCCCACTCGCTCACAGGCCAGTGCAGGGACCTCAGGCCCCAGTGCAAGGTCCGGTTCTGGATCTGTGCTCCGGGCCAGCAGGGTAAGGAGCACCTGCCCTGCTCTCTAGCGCCCCGCTCTGGCCTGCGCACAGACTAGCTGTGGCCAGACCCCCTCCCTCCAGTGCAGGGGCTATGCAGGGGAGCCATTTGCAGGACAAGGAGCCTCTCCGCTCGGAGGCCGACAGGAGCCTGGATTCTGGGGTCAGCGGCACCCGCTTGGCATGAGGCGATGGCCCCCAGCAGACTGGGGGGACCCCAGCTCCATTCCGCCCCCCAGCACTATCAAGAGCACACAGCATTCCCCTGCCCTTACGCTGCACTGCTGCGCCCCACACCAGAGGTGGCCGCACTTCTCCCTATGTGCCTCATTAAGAACGCTGCCAGCGATGGGCACGAAGCCCTCCAGGGCCCCTGCGGGGCGAAAGCACCATAGAAACAGCCACCGTCATCCTGCTGGGATTCGCTGCAGGGGCGGGAGGAGGGGGTGGATCTTTGAAGAGTCACTGCCACGTGCCAGGCTGCTACACTCACATCTGCCAAGGCCACACGCCGCCCTGGGCTGCAAACTGCTCCGGCTTTTCTCCGCCGCCTGCAGCGGGATGGGGCTACACGACACCGCAACGCCCCGTCTGACCCCATCCAGCCCGGCTCCTCCCCAGCCCCGTGCCGCAGGCTCTGCCCTGCCAGCCGCTGGGCAGTACTGAAGACTACAGGGGATCAGGCAGGACAGAGCTTCCCTCTCCCTGAGCCCATTGCCGCTTTAAGGACATAGCTCCCCCACCCCCGGCAAGTCTGGTAACCGCAGCCTCGGCAGGCTCCCCAGTGAGCGTCACCTTGTGGCCTGATCCCAGCGATGCAGAGCCAAACTGCGGCACAAACCCACGGAGCAAAGGGCCACAGACCCAGCCGCCCACCAGGCTCGGGAAGCCTTCAGCTTAGCTCAGCGAGGAACCACAGCGCGGCCAGGCCCTGCCCAATGGCCAGCGCCAGGGAGCGCCTATGGGGACGGGGAGAAAACACCAGCCCCCAACCCCCCCCTCGGGGAGGCCGTGGCACCGCAGCCAGCATCACGGACACACCGCGCCAGTCAGAGCAGGGATGGAGGTACCCCTCTAGCCCAGGGTGGGTGGGCGAGCGGCTACCCCAGACCGCACCATCGGCTGAGTCGCCTCTGAGCTCCCTGCCCGGCTCGGTCCCTGGAATCTGCTTCCAGCCCCCGTCTCATGGTGCCAGGGAGAACACAGAGGCCTTGCTGCCCACGCCCCACCCGGGCCTGGCTGCCCTCTGGCCTTGGGGGGAGGCCACGAGTCACGCTCTCCACCACCCCCATGCAGCCCTGTCTGCTCCGGCTCACTCACGCCGATAACAGCCAGGCTCTGGCTCCAGCCCCATTGCAGCCAGACCGCACCCAAAGCTCGAGGGGTGGGGATGCAGGGAGGCTTCTGCCAGCCCCAAGCCATCCTGACCCATGGTTCTCAGCAATGCCCTGTGGGCATTGCTTTGGCCACACACTGCCCACTATCCTCGGTGCTCAACTGGCCCTCTTCACTGTGGTACCTGGTGTGACGAAGCGGGACTGTTCTTAATGTTTCCTCTGAATAGTGTGGGGGTGCCTCAGTTTCCCCTAGGCAGTTTTTAAGTATCTCGGTGGTGGGGTAAGGGTGTATGATCGTTGCAGAGCCCTAGAGGGCAGGTGTGTGCAGGGGTCTGGACACAGAGAATGGCCAACACTCTGTTTCCTGGCCACTGATGGCCTGGGCCCTTCCCCCCTGCCAGGTGAGAGCTGAAGGGTTGGAGAACAAAGGAATCCGGTGACCTCCTGGCCCGGGGAAAGGGACAAAGCCCAGAGGAGGAGGGGCTGGAGGGAGTTTCAGTTTGGGGCTGGCTGGGACATGGAGTGAAGTGCAGACGTGGTTGTCTGGCTCACTGCCCCCCAAAATGGACCCAGCTGAGGGGTCCCGTTCTCTGTACCTACAAGTTCTGTTTTAGAACATGTTCCTGTCATCTAATAAACCTCTGTTCTACTGGCTGGCTAAGAGTCAGATCTCACTGCGGAGTTGGAGGGCAGGACCCTCTGACTCCCCCAGGACCCCGCCTGGGCGGACTCGCTATGGGAAGAGCACGGAGGGGCAGAGGAAGCTGAATGCTCTGAGGCCAGACCCAGGAAGGTGGAAGCCATGCGAGCTGTGTGTCCTGCAGACAGGCTGCTCGCAGAAAGGAGACTTCCCCAGAGTCCTGACTGGCTTCGTAGGGAGCAGTTCCAGAGCATCGCCCGGGGACGCCGTGACACCTGGGTACCTAAGGAAGGGAGCACCGCAAGTGGAAATACCCCCCATTCCAGTTCACAGAGCGATCGCCCCATGTGCCAGGGCCCCCAGCCTGCCCTAGAACCAGACACTCCCTTTCCGAGGGGCTCGCGCTCCTCTGCTACGCCCGCCCTGCCAGCAAAGGTCCCCCAGGGAACGGCAGCATGAACCCTGCCCGTGCCCAGGAGCAGCTGCTGACCTGGTGTGAGGATGTGACGCAGCAGGGAGGGGGGAGCGTTGACCTGGGAATGTGCCCTGGGGATGGGAGACCTGAGAGCCTGTCACCTGAGCCAGGAGGGGGAGGGGGAGGTGACACCTCTGCCCAGGAATGTGAAGACAGGCTGCAGGAGGGGCCTGCTGGGGGGGTTTAGTTTCAGTTTGGGGCTGGGTGGAGGAACACAGGGAACCCCAGGGCTGGGGTCTAAGCTCCCTGCTCCCCCAGAAGGACTTGACTGAGGGGTCCTGGGTGGCTCTGTTTTGGACTGTGTTCCTGTTGTCCAATAAACTTTCTGTTTTACTGGCTGGCTGAGAGTCACAGTGAATCCCAGGAAGAGGGGTGCAGGGCCTGGACTCCCCCACACTCCGTGACACCTGGCCATTCAGCGGGAACTCCCCGGGCTTTGGAGCAGGCAGCCGCACGATGGGCGTCTGAACCAGGCCTGACCTTGCACTCAGCTTGGCTCTGGCCCAGAACGGGAAAGCCAGGGAGGCAGGCGTCAGGGACTGGATCCCACCGGGGCAGCCAGAGCTGGAGTGATGCAAGGGAACAGCTCTGGCATAATATTGGGAGGGGGAAGCGGCAGCGGAGGATGGACCAGCCCCTGCCTCGGGACGTGGGGCAAGAGAGGTCAGCTGGGGCACAGGCAGGGGGCACTGCTCTCTCAGCTCCAGCCCCTAACTCCAGAGGCGGCTCCCCACCACGGCGAGAGACTGCACGAGACCTTCTCCCTGGCCCATGGGGCATCCAGCCTGCTGCTGCCACATCAGCCCCCTGACTCTCCTCTCCTGGGGCCCCATCCCTGAGCCCTCCAGGGAGAATACGGCAGCATCCCACTGCGCCATGCAGACCCCAGGGGGGCAGAGCAAAGGGAAGGCTCCTGCTGCAGGGATAGTGCCAGGCAGGCCCAGCACCTCTGCCCAGCACTGTCCAGTCAGGCATCTCTGGCACACAGCTGGGTGCCACGGGCAGAGACGGGACATCGGCCCAGTGGGACCTCAGGTCTGATCCCGGCCGGCAGTGCCTGCTTCAAAGTTTATCACCACCAGACAGGCCTTCGCCGGGCCACCCCACTCCCCCAGGGCAGCTGGGACGGGACAGCACCTCAGTGCCTCTGGGGAAATTCCGCCATTGCTCCAAAAGGTGGAGAGACCCTTGCTCAGCCTATCCTCCCCGGGGGCAGAGCCAGCCACTAGAGGAGCAGAGACCCCCCTTCTCGGGCGGTCCCCCCGGGAGGGTTCCGGGCCGCCCGGGAACAGCGCCAGAACCAGAGAGCAGCAAAGCCACAGGCTGGGTCCCCGTGCAGAGCTAAAGGCAGCAGTGTGCGTGCACACGTGTGCGGAGGGGCAGGCTATCGTGCGGGGGGGGGGTGACTGGGCGAGCGTGACCAGACCTGCTAGCACGGAACTCCAGCCTGTGTTCCAGGTGGCATGTAGACACGCATCAGCCCCCTGCACCATGCAGATCGGGAAGGAGGGCCAGGACAGGATCTCTGCCATGCATGCAGTGCACACGTCTCCCCGCTCGTAGCAGGAAACCGCTCACCTCCCACCTCCTCCACCGAGCAGGCGAGCAGCACGCAAGGACAGCTGGCTCAAGGTGCATCTCACACCCGCCCAGAGGCAGCAAGACACTGAACACACCAACCAGACCGGGAGCTTCTGGCCCGTGCAGCAGGCTGCCCCACGCAGCAGGGCCCCTGTGGTCGCAGAGCCCTGCCACAGCTGCAAATGGCTTTTGCAGAGACATCATCGGGGCGGCTGAGGGGGTGGCTATAATTGCTGCTCCCACCAGTCACATGCAGGCCCATCTCTCCTTCCCCCCCCCCCCCCCCAACCACGGGCCTCTGCGTCTACCCTTCCACAGCAGGTGCTCTGCAAAGCCAACAGCGTCACTGGGGTTTCAGTCACCCCGGGACAGCCGGTTTACAGGCATTTCTTCCCCGGCCAGGCACTGAAGGTCACTCCCCCCACACATACACACAGTGCCTGGGGGCTGGGGCAGAAGACCCACTGCAGAAACACACTGACAGGACACTGCAGTCGCCCCCTCCAGCAAGGGGGGCAGGGCCCAGCTCCCTGCAGAGGCTGGCTATGCTGCTCTCCTCAGCCAGCAGGGACCCACAGCGAAGTGGGGGAGAGAAACCTCCCACGCCCCCGGCCCCCACACCGCTGGGGGAGGGGAGCAGACAATGACGCAGATGTGGTCACTCTGCCTGCAGGAAGGGAACTGGGAGACGTCAGCCCTGCAAGTCACGCCGCACCCCCAGGGGAAGGGACCCCGCTCTGCAGGGAAGCCTGGGCTGGGACTCCAGGCTTCTCCATACGGCCACTGAGGCCAACAGGCAGGCGGCTGCTGCAGCCTGGCTGGCCCCATGGGAGATGGGCTGTCAGGCTGATCATCGAGTAGGGGTCAGGCTCTAGCATGTTCCCCAGAACCAGGAAGGCAAGAGAGGGAGCCCCACTGGCTGGATCAGGAGATGCCAGGCAGGGAGGAACTCTCAGCTACTGGTTCGACCCCAGCCCCAGGGAGCAAGAGGCTGGTGGCTGTTTAATGACCCTCATGAAACATATCTGGAGGTTGGCAGGGATGAGCATGGACGTCACGAATGCCACGACTTCGTGGCCTCGTCCGCACGCTCACCAGGGAGGAAACGGGCCAAACGGCCCTCAAGACTGAGCGGCCCTCTACCAGGGCAGGCCAGGGCCCGTGGCGTGAGCTCGCCCGTGCTGCCTTCATCCCACCCCCTAGGCCGTGTGTGCCCAGACCTAGCACAACAGGGCACGGAGCGGGACTGGCGCCTGAGGTTAATCACGCTGGATACAATGGGGACTGCCAGCGTCAGCAGGGCAAGAACACGCCGGTGTGCACGTGGGCCACGCCGTTTCTACACCCACGCTGCTGCAGCTACACGCCTGAATCGGGGCCTTGGGCACGTGACTGACCAGGCGTGCATCTCGCTGGCACAAGGTTAGTGCATCGGCGCACACACTCCCCCAGCCAGGCCCAATACACGTTTCCGTAACACACGGCCCCGGCATGCGATCCAGGTGTATTTCTTCTGACCCGCTCCCACCCATAACACCAACCCCACCCGCTACCCCCTTGCAGCTCTTCCTGTTTATCCAGCGCCCTCTGCACCGCGGAGCATTCACACAGAGCTGCAGAGTCACACCCACCCTGTGGTTCCCGGCTTCCCAGGTGAGCAGCTCTCTGCTTTCACACGGCCCCCTGGGCTGCACACACAGAGCCGTCCTCTCTGCAGACCCCTCCTGTACGCCTCACGGCCTCCCAGGGTCTGCGCAGGGTCAGAGACGCTGGAAAGGACCCAGCCAGCACCAGGGCAGGACTGTTCCCTACAGCACATTCCCCAGGGCTCTGCCCAGCCGAGCGTACAAAGCTGCAGGGTTTTCATGGGGAGACTATTCCGCGTGCTAATAGCCCCAGAACCAGCACCCTGCCTCCCCCAATCCTGGGCTTGATTCCTTCCCATACGCCCGGGGGCCGTCCAGCCGGCTGGAATGGGTGGGCGAGGGGCAGCTGCCGCCACCCAGCCAGCCTGGGCGAAATGACTCAGCCAAGCACCCCCCCATGCCAGCCTCGCTCGGGGTGGTGGGGTCTCAATCCCCTTTTCACCCTGGCAGACAGCAGCTCGTTCTCCACGAGGCGGGGCCGTCCTCGTGCGCGGCTGGGGGGCAGGCTCCAGGGGCCTCGCAGGGGCTCTGCCCCTTGGCGTGCGGCCAGAGAACATCTCCAGCAGGGCTTTCCAGGCTGAGGCAGCCGGTTCAGAAGGGGGCAGCGGAGCAGGAGGGAAGGCAGAGCCTGGGGGAGCTGGCGAGCGCCGGGGATTTCAGTCCCTACAAAGCCATTCCGTGCAGCTCAGAGGCGTTGGGGAGTTTCTCGGCAGCTCAGCCAGTTTGTTACTCTCCCAGGCATACCATGGTGTAAACCAGGCCTCCTCCCGCCCAACATCCAACCGGTGCAGCCACGCCAGGGGCAGAGAGGGGCTGCTGGGGGTGGATGAGGGCACCATGAGCCACAGCTCTTTTCTGAGCAGGGGTAAGAGATGCTGTGTTTAAAATGCCGCCGGCTGCCTGCCACCCCCTCCCCAGCCACCCTCTCCAGCTCCAGCCCCGTCCCCAGCCGCCCCCTCCAGCCCCGTCCCCAAATGCCCCCTCCCCAGCAGCGCTCTACACAAGGCTAGTGCAGCTTCAGCCCCGCTGGAGGGAGCCTACTTTTAGCAACAAACCCTCATGCAGACAGTGCCCAAAGCCCTTCAATACCACAGCCTGGCCCCTATGGCTCTGGGGGTCCCCCCCAGACACAGCCCAGTGCCTGGAACTCTGGGGGTCCCCCCCAGACACAGCCTGGCCACTATAGCTCTGGGGGTCCCCCCCAGACACAGCCCAGTGCCTGGAATTCTGGGGGTCCCCCCCAGACACAGCCTGGCCACTATAGCTCTGGGGGTCCCCCCCAGACACAGCCTGGCCCCTATAGCTCTGGGGGTCCCTCCCAGACACAGCCCGGCGCCTGGAACTCTGGGGGTCCCCCTCAGACACAGCCTGGCCCCTATAGCTCTGGGGGTGCCCCCCAGACACAGCCCAGTGCCTGGAACTCTGGGGGTCCCCCCCAGACACAGCCTGGC